AAGTATCACAAGTGTCCAGCTCTTTTATTCCCCAGTATAAAGGAGCAAACTTCTTCATGGCTTAACTTAGCCATATAATTATGGGACTCTGTGAAAAGAGATAATATAATTTATTTGTATTATTCAATGTTTAGAAAAAAATAAAAGCAAGCATCAGATTTGCCCATTAGCCTCTTTTCCCTGGATAAATGCTAAAAGATATTGAATCCGTGGTGCTATGATATCCCTTCAACACAGATTTAGAATTCCTCATATTCACTTTGAGCCAATTGTCTTATATTTCAGTATGCAGAGCTAAACCAAAAAACCAAACCCGTTACCGTCGAGTCGATTCCGACTCACAGTTACCCTATAGACAGAGTAGAACTGCCCCATAAGGTTTCCAGGGAGCAGCAAGTGGATTCGAACTGCTAACCTTTTGGTTAGCAGCTGAACTGTTAACCACTGTGCCACCAGGGTCCCATGTAGAGATAGAAGTCCAAAACAATTCGTGTCAGGGTCAGGTGGACTCAAAACTCTGGAGTCATTTATTTCTAGAAAATATGAAACTTGGTTCTTTCTTTTTCGTGTAGGGTTTCTTTAGAAGAACCATTCAGAAAAATCTCCATCCATCCTATTCCTGTAAATATGAAGGAAAATGTGTCATAGACAAAGTTACGCGAAACCAGTGCCAGGAATGTCGCTTTAAAAAATGCATCTATGTTGGCATGGCAACAGATTGTAAGTAGAACTTCTTCATTTGCTTCTTATTCAAGAAGTGTTGATTGGGGAAGGGTTTGGTTCAAGGAAATCAACCTGGCAGAAAAGAAGGCAGCAGCTCATGTGGGCAGAGGGGAGATATCTTGCTTTCCCACAGAACTCTCCTTCCCCACATCTAGCCTTGCCCAAAAAGAGAGGCGAGAGACGTTGCTAGATGGTCTTCATCTTGTGGTACTCTTTTCCTTCCTTCCCCTCTCTTGTCAACTCCTAACCCTCAAGGTAGCCAGATGATGGGAATACGAGAGAGCAGTTAAATTATCCCGGTCATGTTTGCAGGAGCTAATAGTTAGCGACACTCTGCTTGCGTCAGAGATTACAAATGAGAGGTGTTGTCCATTCACCTTGATAAGCTATAATTTTTACATACAGCATTCATGCAGTGACAGCCTCATGGACTAGTCCTAATATTTTTTAAAAGCAGAGACAGGAATTTATTTTTTGGACATTTTTGGGGATGGGGCACTGGCAGAAAACATCCAGTTCAGAAACTTCTAAATGTGAAGTTGAGTGCTAGTGCGTGAGTCATCCTGCAGTTGGTTGTTCGTGATATTTTTAGCCATAAAGATGTTTGAGCTGAAGTAGTCCTACCCAGTTTCCAAAGTGCCATAGCATATGGTGGTGAGATTAACCCTTGGTGTCTTTCTCCCCCACACCAGTCACTTTAATTAATCTAATAATAAAAATAATAATCACGACATGCAGAATGTGCGGCCTCCCTTTTGTCAGACATTAATGATTTCTACCGGCATAAATTTTAACACATCAATGAGAGGTTCCAACTTTTAGTTAAAAAAGAAGAAAGGAAGGAAAAAGAGAAGGAAGGAAGGAAGGGAATGAAGATTTTTCCTCATAAAAGAGGAAATAGGTGTAGCTCACTCTTGTGTGATAAACAGGATTCTCTCAGCTAGAACAGGGAATCTGTGGAATATTCTGGTTTTCCCATTTTAAAAAGTCAGAACGGGAATCTTAAGAAAGAAGGAGGGGTTGCATTAGGGTGTCACACTGGGAATCGAGGTAATCCCCACCTCTGACTGATGTATTCTTTGTCTATATCTTGTATAAGACATAGACAGTATGACTTATAAGGATACATGAGAAATGCTTGGCTATAAAGGAGACTGTAACACTATAATGAACTGTTAATATTAAATATCCATTTTTTCATTTTATTGAGAAGTTAAAGAAATACGTGTTTATGAGGGTAAAATATTTGGAGTGTTAATCCGATTGAGTCCACTTTACTTCCTTGCAAAGGATTATAAAAGCTCAGGTTTTGTCATCAGAAAACTTGCGTTAAAGTCCCAGATCTGCCACTACTAGCTGTGTGACTATCTGAATTCCCTACCCATGAAATTGTCACCTACCCCATAGGGTTGTTTTCAGAATTAAATCAGATAATGCATGTCAAGTGCAAGAATACCTGGCACACTTTTGAAAAACGGGAGCAGAGAGTATTATTATCCATTCCTCCCCCTCTTTAGTAAATGAACCAGAATGACTTATCAGAGCTCCTTCATATCTTCCACACTTGTAAACACTCACATGACTTTGACTATCCAATCAAATCTAGACGATCTGGAATTTAATTATTCCCTTTGTGGATTAACTGGGCACCTTGATGCTTTTCTTCCTGCTGCATCTACTGTTTTCTTTTCCTACCAAGTCACATCTTCATCAGGAAATGGCCCTAGGACAATAACTCCGGGTGGTGTGGTAAAACTGGAGTCAGGAGTTCTGGGTCTTTCCTTGGCTCTGCCATGAATTTACTGTGTGATCTGGGGCAAGTCACAACCTCTCTGGATCAATTTCCTCCTCTGTGAAATGAGTTGGACTAGGTAATAGCTAAGGTTCATTCCAGTTCTAAAATACTATAACCTGTGATATAGTAAGAGTCTGGTGAAATGGTTCACGTTGAAAGTTAATCACAGCAGGTTTCTTGCTACCTGTCCTTCTTATTTCCCTTTTGCATAAATGATATAAGTCATGGCTACATTTATTGAGCACTTATGGTATAGCAGGTACACCTTATACATTATCACAGTGAATATCCTGTGAAATGGGGATTATTGCTCTCATTTTATACATGAATCAATAAAAGCTCAGAGAGCCTCAGTAACTTGCCAGATGTCACACAGTTAGAATTCGGTAGTGTCAGGACTCAAACCCAAGTCCTTCTAGATTCCAGAGCCTGGGCTCTTTGACCACCAATTGAGGGTTGACCAGGTCGAAAATAATGCAAAGTGAGTAGCTGTGAGGCCTTTGATAGACCCAGTCACATTCCAGTTAGCCCTTAAGGGAGCCATGAAGAGTTGAGGTCCTGTTTCCTTAGAGGAGGGGATCCTGAGCTTCCCATTTATCAGTCCAGAACTTTTCTTTAACCTAAAGTTCTCCTTTAAAAAAAAAAAAAATCAATTACTATCGAATTGACTCCAACTTATGGCAACTCCATGTGTTTCAAAGTAGAATTGTGCTCCATAGGGTTTTCAATAGCTGATTTTTCAGAACTAGATTGCCAGGCTACCCAGGTTGCCTCTGGGTGGACTCGAACCTCCAGCCTTTCAGTTAGCAGCTGAGCATGTAAACCATTTGCATCACCCAGGGACTCTAAAATTCTCCTTAGAGAGACTCATTTTAGGGAAGGAAGGGAGGAACAGAATCCCTAAGAGTGAACTCAGATGACTGACTAGACACATTTGTCTGTGTTCTTGTGGGTAGTATTAGATTTTTCCTCTCTCTGCTTCCCTCTGATTTAGGGTCACCTTTTTTGGAGTTGAGGTGCCCAGTGTCCAAGTTTGCTCAGAGCTTTGTTTCGAAAAACTAGCCAGACCTTGGGAGTTCAACAACGGGGCTCAGTGTTGGGAAATGGCTCGTCAAGGGCAAACGGAAGTCCAATGTGTGGTTCCACCTCGCAGGCCCACTGAGCTGTCCCTGTTGAAGTGGGCCCACCCCTGAGGCCCCATGAGCGGGGGTAGTATTTGTGTGTTTTGTCTCATCTTTCTCCCCCTCTCAGTGGTGCTGGATGACAGCAAGCGGCTGGCAAAGAGAAAACTGATTGAGGAGAACCGGGAGAAGAGGCGGCGGGAAGAGCTGCAGAAATCCATGGGGCACAAGCCGGAGCCCACAGACGAGGAATGGGAGCTTATCAAAACCGTCACCGAAGCCCACGTGGCCACCAATGCCCAAGGCAGCCACTGGAAGCAGAAGCGGAAATTCCTGGTAAGGCTTCCTTGCACAGCTGAATGTGGGCTGCATGCCGGGTGTTTTCTAACTCAACCACTTAGTCCTCGTAACAATCCTGGGTGGCTGGGATTACTGCTCCCATTTTATTGAGAAGGAAACTTCAGGTCTGAGAGCACAAGTAACTTGCAGAGCCAGGATTTGAAGCCAGCTCAGTATGAGAACAGAGGCCCCACCCACCTGATTGATTGAATTCTTAAGCAATTTCTTAGGCCACATTAACGCAATTTGCTTTTGCTATTGAGCAAGGCCAGCTCTGAAATAGCTAGTTAGTGACATTCTTTATCTGCCAGCTTTTCCTTTTTATACCCATTTCTTCCCTCAGTTGCTGAGTTTACTCATGCTTATTCCCCTAAACTCTATCCCCTTTAAAATAATCCCTAAAATGAAGTGTCCTCAAATGTATTTTTATGTCAACAGAGATAAAAAAAAAAAAAAAAATATATTTTGGCTTAAAGTAAATGAACTTGGGTCCAGGAAGACAATGGGAGTGGAGAACCTGGCATCAGATATTCTCCGGGTCTATTTCTATCTCTAGGATACGTTAGAGCGCCTCCCCAGCAGAACAAGAAGATACAGATCTTTGTAACTCAACATCAACATTATAAAGGATAGCTTTTTTTTTTTTAATTATTAAAGCCACGTAACAACAACCTCAAAGGAAATTTGGGGAGTGGGGGAGTTTTACCCATAATCCACTTGCTCTCAAACTACTTTTTTCACTGTCCCAGTGAAGTGGGTTCTAACCCACTTTATGGATGGCCTCCTCTAACAGTAGTGTTAGCAGACACTTACATGGCCCTTACCATGTGCCAAGTACTATTCTAAGTGCTTTACATGTATTAACTCCCTATACCAACCCTGTAGGTAGATGCTGTTAATATTCCCAATTTACAGATGAGGGAATGAGGCAGAGAAATTTAGTCAACTTGCCCAGGCTCCTGCAGCTAGTTAATGGTGATGATGGGGGCAGCCCAGCTCCAAGTTCTGTACTCTTAACCACTACAGTTTGCAAATTCACCACCTATACAAACCCAAAAAGCCTCCTTAAAACATAAGCTATTTGGGTGGGAGGGGCAGCCTTTTAGGGTCTCCCACCCTGGGATACCTGCCGGGAAACTGAAAAATAATCATTCCCGATACAGCAGTTCTAATCCAATATATTTGTGGCACAGCAAGATAGAGTCCTGCCTAACCCAAGCCTAAGGCTGTCCTTTTCCCAAAAGTGTCATCCATAAACGGACATGGTGGAAACCACATCCAGTCCTGGCACTGCTGTCTGATTTCACAGTAGTGACCAAGCTGAGTTCTAAGAAAAGTGGAGGATTCAGGGCACATCCTGGACTCCTCCTAGGAATGTTATACTTTGATTTTCTTTACACCCCAAAAAAGGGTAGATACTAGTATAAAAAAATCAGTTTCCATGGCCACTATGGTACATCTTCCCAGACTCTAAAGATATGTTCTTTTATTTAAGCAACATTTATTCAGCAGGTGCTCTGTGCTAGGAAGTGAACAAGTCAGCCATGGTCCCTGGAGCTTACATTCTGGTGGCAGGAGACAGTAAGGGATAGACAATCAAAATAAGCATAGGTAGTAGTTTGCAGTGAAGGCAATGGTGTTATGGGACAGAGTGATTGTGAATTGGGGGTAAATAGGGTGGTCAGGGAAGGCCTCTCTGAGGAGGTGACATCGGAGCTGAGCCTGAAAGCTGAGAAATGAACTCTGTAAGGCAAAATATCATGAAACCTCTTCATACTTCGTGGTCTCTTCAGCAAAGATAGCACAATATCTAGTCATTAGAAACAGCCTTCAGGTCTGCACCTTTAACTCCAAGGCTTCTTTGGTCTTAGCATCTGTAGGAAGAACCAAAGAAGGTTTAGTACAGAATGGTTTGTCACCGTTTTTGTCAGGGTCATGAGGTTATCCATTCACAGGAGACCTTTCTTCCAGAAGCTGACATTTACAGAGTAACTATTTACTTGTCAATCCCTGCTCTCCTTCCCCTGTGCAACGGAAATTAAATGTATGTTTTGTAGACCCTTGATCTGTTCAAGAAATTCTCACTCTTGATCCAAATATGAGTACTGCTTCTCCAGAACATTGTTTCTTAGAAGTATGTGGAGGAGATCAGAAGGCCTCTACTGTCCCATCTGTCTCTACAATGAACTTCATTTCTGTCAGCCACTCCCCTTCTGTGCCGGGGCTCATGCCTGCAGCTCCATGGAGGAAGGACCATATTTCATTCACTATTGTCACCTCACTGTCCATCCCATATGTGGAAACTTGTGGTAGCTTGTCTTCATGATTGTCACCATCAAATTCTTTTCCTCCTGTATATGCAGCCATTTTCTCTCATTGAAAGGTAAAGTCTATTCCCCTAGCCCCTTGAATCTGGCTTGTGATTCCTGTAAACCGTGAGTATTGGCGGAAATAGTGCTTGAGTGACTTTTAAGGCTGGGTGATAAGAAGGCTTGCAGCTTCCACCTGGGTCTTTTGGAGGGGGAAGCTACCTGATCTCCCTGAAGGACGCCAACTGCCATAAAAAAAAATCCAACAACTCTGAGACGGCTATGCTATGAGGAAGCCCAAGCTAGCCCTGTGACAAGGCAATGTGGAAAGAAATTTCCAACCACCCCAGGCACAGGATGTGAGTAAAGAAGACTTTACTCAGATGATCCCAGACTCAACTGCCATTTGACAGCAGCTGTATGACAGACCGCAAATGAGAACCACCCACTTGAATCCATTAATCCCCAGAACTCTGAGAAATAATAAAAAATTGTCTTAAGTCACTAAGGTTTTGGGTGGTTTGCTACACTGAAATAGATACCAGAACAGAACTCAGTAAATATTTGTTAAACTGAACATACAACTCCACCAGCCCAACCTCTGAGATAGTACAGTTAATCCCTGTTGTCTCAGCCAATGTACATACTTACACACAGCCCTTGCAGAAAGGGGGACTCCAAGTAAGTATGTATGCTCAGGATGAAAATTTTACTTTTTGAGTGGTGAATTATTCCTGCAAGGACATTAAGAATCCAGAGTTAGAGACTGGCTTGCTGAATGGTAGCCATGTATTGAAAGATTTTCATTACTAAATAGCTTTCTACACATTATGATTTACACGGAGTCGGAATCGACACAACAGGTTTGGTGTTTTTTTGGTTGCTTTTGTTTGTTTTATATGACCAATACCCCTTTTTTGCTTACAACATTGCCATTTATTTTTAGGTGTTGAGGTCGCATCTTGTTCTGAAAAAGAATTTGAGGAGGCCTATTAATGGAGCCCTGGTGGCATAGTGGTTAAGAGCTCGGCTGCTAACCAAAAGGCCGGCAGTTCCAATCCACCAGCCACTCCTTGGAAACACGATGGGGCAGTTCTACTTTGTCTGATAGGGTTACTAGGAGTCAGAATTGACTCGATAGCAAAGGGTTTTTGGTTTTTTTGGGGGTTTTTTTTGGTTAATATATTAACAACAGTATTATAATACATCATAAGGGATTAAAAGTATACATTGTCATAGAAGCTAGAAGTATCAATTTATCTGGAATGGATAAGGAGCTTATTCACCAAAGAGAACTACTTCATCATTTTTCACCATAAGATCAGGACCCAAGTCAGAAATAGAGCCTAGTGGTTTTACCTGGGTTTCAAATATATCTTTGGATCCAAAGAAATGAGAGTCATTGACAAATGAGGAACTTTCGCAAAAGCCATGCAGATTTTCACGAATCCAAAGCCATTCTTCAAAACTATTTCCAAAAGCATTTAAATCACAAAGTTTTCTATTTTGTCCAATTCACTCAAATCTGTAGTGCTACAGAAATGCCCAGTTTAGCCACCAACACTTCCTGGTGATGGTGACAGTGACGATGAAAAGTTAACGTGGGCTACGAAGGGAACAAGTAACATCTGATGACAAGGAACGGAAAGTAGTGTCTCTCCACCAAGGGAACTCACTTCTACACTTCCCAGTGGTGGTGAGCCATTGGGTGTGGCCCAGATACCATACCAGCAACAAGATTGTCTGTTGGCCCCATGTTATTATTTCGCTCCCTTAGTTCACATGCAAAGGTGTGGCTTTGGATGGATTTTCCATCCAAGTATAAAACGTAACCTTTCAAGCTAGGCCGACCTGCCCTACTCTTCCCCCGGAAGAGCTACAGTTGGATTTCACACATTCCCATTTGGGGTAGCCTCAGAGAAGGTGCATAAGCAGAGGGTCAGGCAGCGTGAGTGATTTGGCCATGTGTGGTCTGTGGACAGGACTAAGTCAAGAAGACACCTAGCACCCTCTGTTATAGCCCATCAGAAGAAGGCAGGCAAAAGTGGTTATGTGTGTGACCACAGGAACCAGAGAGCCTGGGTTCAACGTCTGCCTTTGTTGCTTCTTAATTGTGTGACGTGGGGCAAGTTACCTCACCTCTCTAAGGCTCAACTGTCTTATGTCCTTACTGGATGTTATAAAAGCAATAGATATAAGGGGCCTAACAGTGCTTGGCATACTGTTAACACCCATGTCAGTGGTTACTACATATACTACCACCACCACCCTCATCAGCTTATCCCTGCTCACCACAGCAAAAAGGTAGACCTGAGTTATGCCCAAAGGCCCAAGGCCTTAAATCACTATCTACCTGGGTCTTCCAGCCCATCTTTGCATCTATGAATAAGCAGACAAAGGGAAACACCCCATCTGGCCTCACCTCACTTTGCATATGCCAAACAGCAGCCTTGTTCAAGCCTAGTCATCATCTCTGAGTCAGCCACTCTCAAAGAGGTCCACTGGCAACATTTCCCACACACCTTGAGCAATACTGGTGAGACAGTCAAAGCGCAAAGCCAGTTACTTGTGATTCGTGTAACACCAGCCTCCTCCAGTGCTAGGGGTGATGCACACTTGCTCACACACCTGAACCTCTCTTTTCATACCCCTCTACCCCAGATGAGCCACTCTGGGTTCCTTACTGTC